AAAAAGGTGATCATGAATACCCAAAACACAAACAAAAAAAAAAAAAAAAAAAAAAAAAAAAAAAAGTCTTGCGCAGGAGCATTACTGCAGAGTGCAGGAGCATTGCTGGAGAGTGGCGACTTTTGACCCCAGAAGGTGACATGAAGATAATCTGTAGGTTTCCCTGGAGTTTCTATTTCAGAACATATCAGCTTTGAAGGTTTACTAAAAGAAAACTGCACCAGGTCAGCACCACACACCTAGACTGGCACCAGTATCAAGAGTCCCTAGCTCAGTTTTTCTTCCATCATTTCAGATACTTGCAATTCAGATATGTGGAACTCAGACTGGTGCCATTTCATGCAGCACAACACCCAATAAAGGCACATGCTTTTTTTTCCCCTGATGCTTGCTGCTCTCCTGGAGCACAGACTCTCCCTTCTATACAGAAAACCTATTCCCCCATTGCACTAAGAGGGGTGGTGGGGCAGTTCCTAGATGCCAGCACCTCAAAACATTACTACCAACAGCAGTGAGAGGGAGCAAGGGGAAAGAGGATGTCTGCCACCACCCCATATTTCTCTTCCTTCTCTGCTAGATGACTATCTCAGTGCAGTATCAATTCCTCATCTGCCCGCTGGCTGCATATTGTATCAGTATTTTCCATCCTCAGTGGTTGCAGTAGGCATGCAAGTTCACAGCTCTAGTTTAGCCAGCTCCTCAAAGCCAGAAGTAGTGCCCAAGCTGCTCTGGTTCACAAGTCCCTGCCACAGCCCCATCACCCTCCCCAGCTCTAGGCACAGGAGCTGACTGGCTATTTCTGCATATTGGGTCTCCCAACGCTGGCACCCTATGTTCAAGCTTGGTGACAAGCAAATGTTGTGCCCACATCTTCTCCCCATTCATGCCCAAGCCAGCCCTACCTTTCCAGCATGGCAGTCTTGCACTTCTCCACATTCAGCTGCTTCTGGAGCTGCACAGCTTTTCCACGTGAAGGACAGAGAACTGGATGTTTAGTGAGAGCTGTGGCAGAAGGTCTTTCCACTGGGTCAGGGTGGATCATGAGCTAGAAGGCAAAGGAGTTCAGGGTTGAAACACGCCCTCTTGTCACACGCCAACTAGAAAAACCTCCATCCTCTCAAGACAACTTCTTCACCTTGAGGAGTTCAAGAAAGTGGTGAGGAAGCTTCTGGGGGATCGGTGGAATATTGCCTTTGCGGATGTGGTGCCACATGGCCCCATTGTGAGGCAGTGGTGCTGAGCCAGCTGCTAAAGCTACTGTGAGTGCCAGGGCAAAGATGTCTGCCTTCGGCAAATAGCAGTATTGCTGTGGAGAGAAGATAAACAGTTATAGAAAGGGAACATCCTGCTCTATTAAACAAAGGTGGGTTGGTATACCAGCTCAAAAATAAACAGCCAAACAAGTGTATGTGTGACACTGCCTTTGCCATCCCACTTAGCTCTTTTCTCCTCTTTAGGATAAAACCATTGAAAGCAAGTAGTATTGGTTACTAATAGCACCTTAGCTTTCACCCAGACACAAGTAGCTTGCAGCCCACATTAGGATCACTGCAGCAAATCCAGAGGATGGCCTAACAAATGTGTGCCTCCAGCCTTCACCACAAGGCAATAAGCTAGCCATGCCCAACTGAAACTAAAGGCTGCATGTGATATAGCACCTTAACAGTTCCCAAATCCATTTACAGCACAAAAAGATACTATCACTTAAATACCCGAGTTGATGAGCACATCCAAGCTGGTTCTTAGATACCAATTCCCTTTTTGTTCACTGGCCAGTGGCAAAACTGCAGCCACTTTAAGATGTGTGTTGTGCCTGCCACCTCTCCACACTGCCCGTACAAAGCATTTGTCTGGTGTATGTATTCCTCAGTAGTCACATCCAGCAGTTGCATCTCAGCTGGGTGCATAATATGAAATGTCTCCAAACCGTTAAAAGTTTTGTCCCATCCACCCCTCACAGGTTGCAATAGTCTAATGATAAAGTTACTTATGAAGTATGTTAAATATTTTTGTGACAAGACTCATGTCTATACTATTCTTAATAAAGTGATAATTTTGCTGATTTCACAGCCAGACAAAACACAAGAAGAGATAAGGCAAGGAATATGCCAGACTAATGACTTCACTACAGTGGATCTCTCCCCACTTGCTCACCACCCTGATCTGCCCACCACCCCACTAGCAGCTGTACCTCTTGCAAAATCTCGTTAGCCAAAAACCGTCTGTCTCCTTCCTCCACCTGGGGGTTTGTTATTGATGTCACATGGCCAAGGTCACCTGAGGCAAAGAACAAGCGACTAATGGAGCAAACTGATGTAGATCTCCTCCATCAATAGGAGCCTGCATTCTACAGACACCAACAGAGCAATCGGGAAATACCAAGCAAGAGAGAGCAAGCCTGCTCCTACTCAGGAACCTGGGCTTGGAGACAAGAACATGAGTTTTCTAGGACTTGTCTCCTTAGAGGAATTAATTCTGGTAAGTAGCAGAGGCATTCAGGACTATGATAGCAGTTTTGTATGCAAGCCTCTTCAGCCAGCAGGACAGAGCAGTATCAAGCAGTAATGAGCAGCCCTAATCTTAAGCCAGCTGTACAGCGGGCTAAAACCTACCAATCTTATACACCACACCAGAAGATAATTCGTCTTCACTGTCACTCTCTTCCTGCCCAGCAGGGCCTGCAACTGCCAGCTTGTGACAGATGAAGATATTACCTGCAAGACAGTGAAGTTAAGCGATAGTGCTGTATCAGTAGCCAGGCTGCAGCAGCCTGACAACTTTGTAAAAATCCCACCTGGCAAGCTAGTTAAGCTTTGCAGCCAGGGAAACTATGCACATGCTTCCCACTCATTAGTCTGTTTTCCACCCAGCTCATGTATTCAGCAGTACAGCTGACAGAAGACAGCTGTATCTTGTGTACAAAATATCCTAGTGCCATCAACTTTTCAAGCTAGAAGAAGGACCTAGCTATATGACTGGCATGGGGGGAGCATTGGCCTGGGGGTGCCCATCCCCATCTGCAGAGAGGAAAGTTTGTTACTGTTTTTTGCAGGAACTTAATCCCTCAGGGTAGGTACAATAAATATTCACTTCTCACTCCACCTCTGATATACAAAGGTCAAGCATTGTGCAACAAGACAGCAGCAAATAAGGAAGTCCCTGTCTTCATTAGCAGACCTACTTGCTCCACCAGTATCAAAGTGCTTCCCACAAGCCAGGATTACTAAGAACACAAGACAGAAGTAAAATGCTGCCAACTATCAGAGAAGGCTCCATTTTAGAGCAGCAGTAGTGCCAAGATTAAAAAAAAACCACAAGACATTCACCTTTTAGGGCAAGATCCTCCTTCCTTTGAGGCACTGTAATAGGTCCAGTCAGAAGGACCTGTTGCAGGTCCTGCCCCTGGAGGGTCACTTGGAGGACCCTCCACAAAGGAGAGAAGAACTGTACTTACTAGGTTTGATATCCAGGTGCACAAGGCCAGAGTTGTGGATGTATTTTAGCCCCATGGAGACTTGTAGCAGTATTTCTTTTAGCTCTGCTTCTGGGAAATACTGGCCAAGCTTGGCATTTTCCAGCAGCACATCTTGGAGACTCCCACCTAAGTGACAACAGTCAGTCTAAGACCTGACAAAGATTTCATGGAGCAGCACGTTTGAAATAGCTTAGTAGAAACTCTTACCCAGAGCACTCACAGGCTTGCTAGTGACAAACCCTGACTAGACGAGCTAACATATGCTCTAAGTGATCAAACCTGGACATCACCATTTGGCTTCAGCCTTCCCACTGCCTCAGAGCGCCCTGCCTCCTGCTTGCCAAGGACTGAGCAACTGCACTTCTACCTACAGCACCAGAAGGGCTGACCTCATAGCAATGCTGCTGCAAGTGAACAGTGGAAGAGTTAATTACTTTTGCCATGCTTACAGGCAGAAAGCAGGTATATGAATGGATGAGCAAGGAAATTAAGTTCCCACTAGCAGATTTTTGATTGAAGAATGTATCATTTGACACAGAAACAGAATTTTGTGGGTCTCCATTAAGGCACTCTGGCTGCTTCAGGACTAGCAAATACCACAGCTTCTGTCCCCATCAGCCTGCTTTTTCACCACTTTGCCTTTAGTCTCAGATGTTCATCCACTAGAATGCGAGACGTGCATCAATGCTGCAGCAATGATCACCATGTTTCATGGTTACCTCCACCAGATTTGAAGTCATTACTCCAAACAACTCATCACCAAGCCCCAAGACTGCAGGAGCAGCTGAAAGAGGAGCGCTACATACTTGCCTTCAGCTCCTCTGGTAGCCAGAGGTGTCTTTTCCAGTGTCGCCCAAACAGTGGTATGGCCAAGGGCAAACCCAAATAAGAGTGTTCCACTCTGTCTGCAGCACCCCATTTACAGTTTACCTCATTATTTAGCTCTGTCCCTCTGCAGCTGTTGAACCCTTTCTTCCAGCCAAGATGCAAGGTGCCTTCATCTCAGCCAGGTAGCCACTCTTCAGATCATTACTCCCCTTCATTAAGAAGGGTTTGTTTCCAAGATACATGGCACTTAAGTTCACTGCTCTCAAGTCACTTGTATCAGGCTATTCCTGGGCAGTCCCGGATACAGCTCCGGGCATTGGCATGAGGAATACTTTCCCGGGACAGCCAACACAGACAGTTTTAAAAACACACAAATTAGGGGGTATTCACTACTTGTAAAACATTGGCACCATTCAGAGCTTTGTCTAAATATTATGAGCCCTTACTAGATTCTCCATGGAACTGTAGCCCCAGCGCAGTCTGCTTTGTTGTAAGCCAAAATGCCCCATATTCAAATATAGAAGAGGGTAACTGCACCCATCCTGAGATCTCAGCCTTTAACAGCGTCACAGCTCTTACCATTGCAATGTTCATTTTGGATAATCATGTGATCATCCTCTGCCCATGCCGAGTAGTAGCGCACAACATGAGGGTGGTGTCCAAGGACAGCATGAGCATAAACCTCGCGCAGTGCCCGCTGCCTAGAGAAGCACACACAGAAAAAGCAGTGGTGATGGGGTGCCAGGGTCCTGCTTAGGACCATGAGAGGAGCCCTGGTTTGCAGCCTGGCTTGAGAAAGGGAAGGCAGAAGTGTTTAGGACTATCTTGGGTTTTGACAGATGGACTGGCTCTCACAGCTGCTGAAGCAAAGCCTGCCCTTGCTCAAATGTGCTGAGCAGTTGTCAAAAAAAAAATAATCACCAAGCAAGTTTAAAGAGGCAAAGGCACTGAGCAGTTGTCAAAAAAAAAATAATAATCACCAAGCAAGTTTAAAGAGGCAAAGGCAGCTTCAAAGACTTTGCTTTAGCATGCAGGACAACACTAGCTGGTCGATACAGGTGTGAGCAGTGCTGGCCATATGGCAGGGCAGGGGCATACCACAAATGAACTATTTGACAGTAGTTATTTGAAAGACACTGGCTGCATGGACCCAAGAGTTAATGTAAGCTGTCATCTCACTTTGCAATGCTTGTGGCTTCTTCCCTTTCTCAGACATTTATATCCAGTAGTCCTAAGGTGGTAACTTCCCCCACTCTCCCAACTGTTACTTGGGAGTGCAACAGCAGCCAGTTTTTCTCATGCCACCCCTCAAATACCTTTAAGATCCACACTCCCTCCTTCCCCATCACACCTCCCAACAACACGCCCATCATTTCAACTGGCAGTTTCTAGCCAGCACACTCACTCATCCGAGGATCCTGCCAGAGGCCTTTTGGAGCGTTTGATGGCATAAACACATCCATCAAGGCGTTTGATGCACTTGTAGACAGAGCCAAATTCCCCCACACCAATTTTTTCTAGTTCCAGGAACTCCTTCATGTAGCGGGAAACCATATTGCTCTCTTTCAGAGGGTATCTCTACAAGGTCATAAAAACAACAAAGTATGAGTTGAAAGACTTGGGTAACAATACCCATCATGTTTTTAGAGCTGTGTAGCACTTGCTCTCACAGAGCACCCATGTTGCTCCCTCTCCCATTCTGGATGTTCATCCAGGCACACATGCAGGTATGCTGCCAGTTCTTCTTGAAACGTTACCTTTCACTTAGGTATGTTGTGTTTTCTTTCTGACCACCTAATAAAGGTCATCTTGGCCTTGTTTGGCCAAGTGTTTTGAGGGGTTTTTTTTGTTGTTGCTTTTTTTAAAAATCACAACTTGCTAGCCATAGAGGTAGAAATTGCAGCCAAGGAGAACTGTAGTCTAGTTGGCTGTATGGGTTACTACCATCACATCTCTTGACGGCCCTGCCCAGTTCCTGGACCCGTGGCTGATGGAGTCAGTCAGGGATGAACAGCAGGCAACAACAAAATACTTGTCTTTTGGACAGCTACTACAGACTCAAGAAGACCTGTTACCAGCCTTGGCAGGTGGAAACCCAGTACCTCTGAATTAGCCAGACTCATGTACTGACCTTGTGTTTAAGAACTATTGCCTGTTTTGAGCTCAGGAGAGAAGCTTGGTGGCTTAATGTGGCCCCAGCTATGCAAGAGCTGCTTTACTCTGGCAGCTAAGGTTGCCTGCAGCAAGGGCATTCTGCATCAGTTCAGGCTCTCCTCAGGTTTGAAGCACCAGCTGTTGACTAATGGCAGATTAGCAGGTCTCAGTGTATCTGTTCATATACTCAGTGATTTCTCACCAGGAGCCACTTTTTCACAAAGGGCTGAAAGTCTGCAGAACAGCTGGAACATCATTAATGCTACAGTAATGGTCACTAGGGAAATAGGAGCTGCTGGTACTGCTTGTAGAATGATGTCTACTAGCAGGGGAGGTAAGTAAAGAAGAGATAAGCAGTGGAGCATGAAGTGAACAACGAGAGAGCAGACTAAATTATTTTTCTTCAGCCTCTTGCATCCTTACAGGGACAGTGGCTCATGTTGCACAGTTGTTTCCACAGAAACCACTGCTGTGATTGCTGTAGAATATGGTAGATGACCTTAAAGGGTGGGGGTAAAGAGCTGGTCCTCACAGCCAGTTAGGTGTGGCCCATGTGAAACAGCAGCACTTCACAAGCTGTATTTCATGAGGCACCTGTATTTTACAATATCTTAAAAAGCTCAAGGAATAAAGATACCTCCTAGTACACGATTTTATATCTATACTACATACTCAGTCTAATCAGTACTCAAGCAGAATAATATTTCAGTAAGTCACAAGTTACCTGATGCTTTCTCCTAAGGAAAACGGTAATTGTGGAAACCCTGGATGTCACCTGGTAGCAGATTTACTCTGCAGCTGTAGTTTTTCCATGGAGACCAGTTTTTCTGCAATACCAGTCTCCTCGGCTAGAGGGTACCATTATTCTTCCAGTAAGCCTAATTATTTTCACAGTCACAATGGACAATTCCACCTACTTGCACAAGACAAGATACTTCCTTCAAGGGGCTGCTCAGGAAAATTGAGATTTTTACTTCACCTGAACACAGATGCTTAATCCAGGCTTGTCTTGCTTTCCACAAGCCATCTGGATGAGTAGCTTCTCCCCCTCCCCGCCCCCAGATAAAACTGGGGAGAAGAAAGAAGGCTGCAGGACATGGGTTGCCACGCCAGCTGCCCAGGTCTGCCAGCACAGCTGGGGTACACCAGACCTCGCACCCTGCCCTGTGCAGCCAGGCCAGCACGCCCCAACACTCAGCTCTGCCAGCAAAGCACAGACATCTGCAACAGCAAGAGAACTCGGATTTGAGTTGTAACACAACGTTTGCTGTCCTGTAGCTACGTAAGCTGTGGCAGGGCCTTCCCTTGGACCCCAAGGCACACAGACACCCCCCCAACTGGACATTTTCCTATTGAAGGAGAGCACAGAATTTGCTGCCTTGCCTCGGAAGTTTTCCGTTGTGACTGCTGCAACTGAAACTCTGCCCTCAGTGCTTATCCACGTCACAGCCACTCAGCTCAGTCTTTGCTGTTTTCACAGTGCAGGTCCGTATATTATTTGCAGCACAGAAGCCATGTTCCATTCACATCCAAAGATGCTTTGTACTCTGATTCACAGGAACAGCAATGCACCTGCTTTTCTGAACTGTAAAGGTACAGTCACTATTTACACTAACTCAATGATATAGTAATACAGTTCCCCCTGAGGAACCCAAATTATAATATATTTCCTAGAAAGCTCTCCTGACCAAAATCAATGAGTTTTAGGATTACTTGTCAAAGTTTCAGATCTGCTTTAGTAGAAGTTTCCTTTAGAGATGGGAATTGTTTCAGAGTTTGTTGTCTCAAACAAATGTTAACATAAAACATTCAACTTGGAATTATTCTGTCAGAGTTATTCATCCTCTGTCATGTCACCATGATTTATACTCCAATAGCAGAAAAAATTTCATCAAGCACCAAATCTTTACAAGCATCTTATCTGCTCTGTGGGGGGAAATACACAGATGCTCACCTTTGTAGGCAGGTCCTGTTTTATCTGGCTTCTTGGATCAGGATCCCTCCTATAAGACAAGTTTTGATAAGTCTGCATGTATCATTTCAGTGCAGCAATCCAACTGAGACTTGAAATGAAAACATTTTTTCAAAACAATCTCCAAACCTTCCTTCACAGTTTAAAGACATATTTTATAGAGTCTTAATAGACAATGCGTTTCTAGTTGAGGCCATAAAGACCATAGTCCCAGGCTAGGAAGTCTTTATTTCCATTTAGAAAGCCTCCACATACCAGCTTCAGTACTGCCCACAGGACAGAGTAGCATCATTCAGGGGCATCATTTTCCTGGCCACCTTATTACAGTGAAGCTACATGGGAGATGACCTTGCACAACAAGTTTCTGGTGAAGGAGGGAACTGCCCCACTGTGCGTTCAAGGGGGATATCCAGCTGAGCACCTATTACAGTTGGGGCTATGAAAGAAGCTGAACGACACTGTAGCGCACAGGTATTTAACTAAGCTTGTGTCTTGGTTAACCCAGACCAGATCTGGAACTTTAGCAGGTCACCAGTAGCCTGCACCCATCTTAAAAGCTGTATTACATGCAAACATGCATGTCATTTCTTCCAAGTTGTGGGTATGTGCATAACTGAATCAAGCCACTCTACCCATGGTCAAGAACGGAAGCAGTACAATTTTCTCCTACAGCCAAAGCACTGAGGTTAGCTGTTGATCTCCTGCTTACATTTCTGAACAAATGAAATTATTTTATTTATATTTCTATTACTTCATATGTCTGTAATGTTTGCTCTGCACCAATGAATACTACGGAAGTGAGTGATTCATTGTTAGCAAACACGTCTAGGTACTAAGCGTCTCCATCATTACTTATCTTCTTCAAACAGTCTCCTTCCAGACTGTTATTTAAGAGTAGTTCACTTACAGCTCTCCTCTGGTCTTCCGCTTGCCGTTAGGAAGAAAGAGCATTTGTCGATATGACTCTGGTGTAAAGGGATTAATGTTGACAAGAGAAGCTTGGGTAGAGTCATCCAAGTGAGCACCCGGAGTAAACCTCAGATGTCGGAAACCTTTGGGTGGGACCTTTGTCCCAGATGAAGGGAAAGCTGTCTTCGATAACAGGCTCTGTATTGAGGGAGGGGAAAAAAAAAAAAAAAAGTGGCAGATAAGCCAGTAAAATGTTTTGGCTGCTGCTACATGACAATAAAATCTCTGCTTTCCTGCAAGTCAAGGAGAACTTGGATCTCTTCCTCAGGATAGCTGAGTCATTAAAACCCCTGCACCCCTAATTTAGTCCTCACAGTTTTCTTCTCCCACAAAGTATTACGACCCTTGCTAAGCCCTTCCAGACTCTATCCCCTGCTCACTTGGATGAGGCCTGCAGAGCCATTTTAGCAAGCACAGTCCTCAAGAGGAGACGGGTGCTCATCTTTCCCACCTACAGAGACACAGAAATTGTATCATATGTTGCATTAACATGGAAGACCCAGTTCTGTCAAGCACGGGCTGTTACATCAGTTTGGTCAGGAATGGCTTGTGAGAAGATGAGAGAACATCACCCAAGTCTCCTTTTGGTTCCCTAGCATTAGTATAGGGGAAGTAAGTAGAAATATTTTCCTATGTCTACTTGCAAAGTGACCAGAAAACAGTTCTTCCTGAAGAAAAAACAGTTTCAGAAATTTAAAAGTTCAGAAGGAACCTCTGAATCTTCCATAGTTCAGCTTCCCACAGACGACAGGCCATGGGGTTTCACCTACTAGTCCAAAACCTTGGATTGAGTAAAGTGTAACTGCAGAGAAGCACCCAGTCTTGATCTGAAGACAGAAAAATCGACTGTCATTCCATGATTTGACCCTTTCAGTAACCATCAACTTTTTTGAAATATAAGTTTGGTTTTGACTTGTTTCAGTTTAAAGAGTGTTGTAAGGTCTAAAGGGGTTTTTAACATATCTCCTTCTAGTGAAAGCCCCTTCAAGAACCCAGAACTTTCCCTGTCATGAAGATCAAAATACTTCTGTATTTTTTTGATCCAACAGTGGTCTTACTCTTGAGAGTGGAGATGTGGCTCTAGGATCATATCTAGAGTTCCTCACTTCACTCATTGAAAGTTTTTGAGGATAAAAACCCCTAGAGCTGCATGCAGTGTCCTGCATCCACCTAATTGATGCTGCAGTCATGGATATAGCTAATTCTGGGACATCCCTCTATTTCTATACCATACTTGGAAGTTCAGCTACTGGTTTACTATGACTCTGAAAGTGCTTCTTGATCGCTTGCTCAAGCCCTGGTCTGCATCTTCTTGCTCTTAGATGGAGAAGTTCTGTATATGGATGTATTAAAAGCAGTCTATGTCCATGCTCAATTCACCCAGCAGCCTAGGAGCTCTGTAGAACTGTGGCTATGCTCTAGTCTAGCCACAAGTCAAGGAAGGGATCTAAAATACCACTGCAGCCTGCTGTTGTATGCATGCAATTCCCATCTGCTCTACTAGGGCTCTATTTCGTAATCAAGCAGACTTGTCTCCTGTAACATCATCTGAGAATAGCTGCTGCCGTACAGTGCAAGGCAGCTACCATAATTAGCTCTAGCAATCTGTTCCAGGATTGGGTAAGTCTACAAAATACAATCATCTGCCTCCTCTGCCATGCATCCTAGCTGAGGCTCCAGTGCGCATCTCTCTGCAGTTAGATGTGGCTCCACTCTCTTACCCTTTCTCTTACCTTCAAATGTTCCAAGATCAATGCTCCCAGCCTTGTTTGTAAGCAGATTTAGGCCCTTTAGAGCCACACACACCCACCCTTTGCAGCATGATTGGAAACAAAGACCTTTCGCCCAGGAGAGAGCAAAGGAAAAAATGTTGGTTTAGCGCAATTGCTGCTCGTGGGCTACAAGGTGACAACCCACGGCATTTCTTGAAGCGTGTGGCCAATGTGTCATCTACACAAGAGCACACAGTGAAAGCACCCTGCTTTACCAGTAGCCCATCTGGTCTGGAAAGAGATGCTAGACCTCTTGCCTATTTTCAGATGAGATTCAGGGAGATTTCTTATAACGGGTCATCGCAGGAAATTCTTGGAGTGATGCTGTTTAAAGCAGCTTTCCCCTAGAGAGCAGCAGGCCATTCCTCAGTAAACATGGCCAGAGTTGGTCTTATAGTGGCCACAGGATCATCCTTCTCTCCACATAATCAGGTTTCTGGAGAGGGATAGAAGTCAAATCCCAGCTCAGAGGTACTAAAAGGACTGACCTGCTGAGTATCCCTGAAGCAAAGGAGCAACCAGACTATCAGTAGAGCAGGAATATTGAGGGGACTGAAAGAGCTACGTTTAATTGCAGGTCTCAAATACTAGAAGCCAGTGCATCCAACAGAAGTTATCTAGGAATGGAGAAGCTGGCACCAAGTGTCCACTTGTGCTTACAGAAGACAAAAAGCAGTTGTATTATATTCTATACAAGATTTCATAGAAAATAGGGGCTAGGATCATTCTCCCAAGAAACTAGCTCAATAGAGATATACCTTTTAGGACAGTGACATGGAGGAAGATAGGCTAACCTTCCTCCAGAAGAACACATCAGTTTGTTACCCCCTCCACAGAGGACTTGCTACCCCGAGAACAAAGTCCCACTTTCCTCAAATTCACTGAGCAGCTCAGTTTCACACAAAAAGAGAATCAGCATCACTGGACAATAAGCTGGTTGGAGTCAACCCAGACCTGCCAGACAAAGTATACCCCAGCCACAATGCCATTTCCAACTTTCTCTTTCAAGAGGAAATCCACTTGCACCCAAAAATGTGCTGAACAGAGCAGTCAGGGCAGCTGCCTGTCGCCAAGCTCCCTCTGGAATGATGAGCTCCTTGGAAAGAGGCACTTATCCCTCTGGGAGCACAGTGCACATTTCCTACAGAGATGCTACAGATGTCCACTCCCCTACACAGCATATGAAGGGCAGAGGGGCTACCAAGGCCCAAGTTCGACTAGCCCAACACCAACTAACTGGTTTTAACAACAGCTTGGGAAGAGGCAACGCTCACAGGATAGCCCTTCCATAGCTAAGGAGCTCATGGTCCAGGTGTCTAAGGGAAGAGTGCAGACTAACAACAGTAACATTAAAAGAAAGCTTTCCACTGCGCTAACAACAGATCCCCTCATCGTGCAGGGACACCGCAGACCTTGCCCGCTGAGACACAGAGTTGATATGTGCCATTACCTTGGGAGTATGGGGGGTGTCACACAGCTGCAGCTTTTTCCAGGTGATGTGCAGCGGTGTCTCAGCATTACCCCGGTTCTTGCTCATGGCCGGGGAAGGCTTCAGGGCAGGACTCACCCAGGCTTTCGTCCTGCTCAGGAAAATCTCACTAAGCTTTCTCTCAGGGGTTGCTGGCAGAGGACTGCTCCCTTGCCACTTCTGGAACTCGCAGCTCCTGGGGGGGCTCGAGCTCGGGGCATCCTCCTCATTTACGCTCCTGTCTTCACTCTCTTCACCACAACTGGAAAAATCCAGTCGCTGAATGAATTCATTACTGTTGTCCCAGTCATCCATGTCACCATATGAGACAGAAGAGACAGAGCTGATACTGGCCTGCTTTGTTAGAGGGAGAAGAGCAGAGGGAGAGAAAGATAGCATGCTTGCACAGGCAGACTAACCCCTCTTCCTTGCCTTATTAAAGGCTTTAGTTCTACTCACCGCATGCACTTTCCCACCCCAATCCCACATACACAGAAGTCTTAATCACTCATCAATGTCATTTGATGGCATTGGTTAATGAAGAGTACCCCAGAATTAACAAACAAATCCATTCAGTTACTGTTCATGTAACAGCAGCAGATTCTGCTTTTCACCTTGTCAGTGCAAGTCAGATACAACTCAGAAGTCACTGCCTTTCCCAGTAAGCCTCCAAGGCAACTTCTCCACCCACCAGTACTTCATCCACTACTCTCATTGCACATTGAAACAGAGCTATCAAATCCTAAAGAACAACACACACCAGCCCTCCCCTCATCCTTTTCTACCTTAAATTTCTCAACCAGAGAAAAAGAACCCATGCTACCTACAGCTGTAAAAGCAGAGGGCACCCCAAACAGTTACCAGATACCCTACAGACAACCTTTCTCCTGCACATTTATAACCACCCCACACACCTGGGCCATGGCTAACGGGGAACATCTGGAGCTCAGCAGCACCTGTGCCAAGGAAAGTTGGTGGCTGAGGGGTTTTGCTGTGGATGTGGATTTGCTGTGCCTGCAACCAGCTCTGCAGGGAGCCAGGGCTCCCTCTGAGTCATCTCCTTGTTCCTGCACGCTCCACCTTATTTTTTCTGGAACTTAAGATTTTTAAGCCAGTCTCATTATTTTTGATGACTGTAGGACACCGGGTTTAGGGTTAGCAAAACTGTATGTTTCAACATGAGTTTGAAACCAAGGGACTTAGCAGGGTCCTAAAGAACAGCTGACAAAACAAAAACAAAAACAAAAACAAAAAAACCCTTTTTTTTTTAATACGTTTGTAATTCAGTTACTCCATGTTAATCCCATCAGAGACGCAGTCTTTGTGGGATTTACTTGTGTAAGTGGTTCATCTTGTGATGATGTGCCTCCTTTTACGTCTGCATTTCACTTTCTGCATTTAGGTGTGTCACAGTTTGGACAAGCGTTGCAGCCTGCATGGAGAGGTTAGTAGCCTAATCTATAACATGCTGGACTTCAGGAGGGAGTTAGGGACCATACACAAGTCTTTGTAGGGGTTCCCACCTTGAGGTTTCAAGCATGTGCCTTGGGAGAGGAGGGAGAAGCTGGCTGCGTCGGTGAAGGCAGCCCTGCAGCACCGCAGCAGGTCAATGCCCCCTCTTGCTGCGCCTCTCTGTAAAAAATGCGGATCTTCTGTGCTTTTGTGAGCCTGCGTTTCGAAGAGGGACCAGCACGAGCTTTAACTAACTGGGCACGAGGTTACAGCAGCCTTTTTTCTTAGCACCAAGGAGAGCTGCTAGGAGGACATGCAGAAATGGGAAATGGCCACAGCCCAGAGGAGATGGGGGTTTGTCAGAACCGACATGTACTTTCCCGTGCACACATCAAGGGGAATTCCCACCAGAAAATAAAGGGATGTGTCGATCTGAGGTCACTCAGCCCTCCTAATCTGGTCTCTGAATGAGAAGTACGGCCATATGGATCTCTGAAGTTGCCTGTTAAGACTGTGACTAGCAATTCATTTGATGCCAAATAGCAACTCATTAGCCACCAAAGCTGGGCTAGGAGGTCAGGCCAGGAGCTCACTATTGGTTTTACTGCTGCCCCTGGCCCAGAGGCCGCAGCGTTTCTTCCAGGCGCAGAGCCTGTTGCTGCCGTGCAGGCTCCCTTCTCCTGCAACCCAGCTGCTGCCTCTCCCTGCGCCTTACCTTGAGCGAGGTCCAAAAGCCTGGGGGTGCTGGCTGCTTTTGGCTATGAAAAGCTGCCCCTGAAGCATCTGGCCCGCTGGGATCCTGTGACAGGACCGCTTTAGTACTGCTGTGATCTGACTGTATTAATCAGCTGTTGGCTACCTGGAGCCTTGGATAGTAATATTTCATTTTAAATCTGAAGAAATAATGCTTTTAGTCCCCGTAACTAGATTTCCACTGATAACCCAGCAATGAGACTCCTTCAGACCTCAGTTTTCAATCCCCTCAGAAACATTTATCTAAATTTGTTGTTGTTGTTGTTCCCAGGGTCCATAGGCAGTAGCCATTTTTCTAAGGAGAAACGGGATATGTAAAAGAGAAAAGTTGGATTTGCTTTGTAAAGAAGGCCCAAGTTGTTCACCTTGCATCTTCTAACTAAAAGCCACCCTATTTTCACTTCATATTTTCTCTGCTAATAATTTTCTTAGCCCTCATTTGGAAGGAAATTGTGTTCATTTTCTTTTGAAGGAGAGCTTTTTCTCTGAAGAGGGTCATGTTTTCTCCTGGCCCAGGTCTTTTCATTTCTGATGAAATAATAAGGTAGAAAACGTGACCTCTGGGTTTTGCACATATTTAACAAACAGTGTGCCCTCAGCAGGCCCAAAATTGCTGGCCACAGCACTTTAAATAGCTCTGGTGCCACCAGGTCTCTTGTCCCACGAGGGCTTTTTCACCAAAAGCCGAGAGCTGGGAGGGTTGATGACATTTCACTATCTCAGAGGCAGCGCTGGCAGCTTCTGCTCCCCCCGCTGCATCCCCTCCCTCGCGCTGGGGTGACCGCACAGCAGATGGGACCAGGAACGGCTCGGCCCTGCGAATAGCCACACTGGTCATGGAGGAATTCTTATTCGGGATTTGTTTCCCCTGCCTGGATCGCTGGGGGACAGCCTGACATTCGTGCCAGCACCACTGTGGGGATGAAGGAGAGGAGGGAAACGAGCTGTCACTTTAGCATCACCAACACGCAAAAAAATATTCATCAGAATGAAGCTTGACACCATCTATATGGATAAAGCGAAGCATGTGGCCAAGTATTTGCAGAATCTGGCTTTTCTTTATACAGTAACAAAATATTGTGCAGGGTTTGGTAGGTTTTGGTTTTTTTTCTTTGCCAGTCACCTTCCATGAAAAACTCCATCTGGTAAACACCACCTACTGCGGTTTATAGCTTTGCAACGTAAACTTGTGCAAGGGCTTTGCGAAACAAAATGCCCACTCGGTGTTGGAGCTGTCTGAAATGAAGCTCACAGCAAATGGATGCTAATGTTACACACACACCAAAAAAAAAGAAAAACCCCCAAACCCCACTGTTGAGGAAACTGGATGATGAGTTTCTTAATGGTGTATTGAACACGCCGGGCTGCTCAACAGGAAAAAAGTGAAACAATTAAGGCTTTTATGACAATATCTTCCCTTTAATTGTGGCCTGCTTAATTGGGTAATCCAATTAATCAGAAAGTCCTAGGGAGCCGAGTTAAACCTAATGGCACTTAATGACATTGGTGGTAGCGTAATGAGGATGGTAATTACACAAAAGTTGGCTGCCTGTGGATGCCTTGGTCACGCTTGCGCCTCCATCTTTCAACCTCAAGCTGATTCTGCCCATTCCTCTGAAAACCGTTTCACATGGCGCACATACATAAACGTACACACCCCCCAGTATATACTGGGTGAGCATCACCGACTCTTTCAGACGCGTGGCTTGCAGCTTCCACCGCAGCAATTTGGGGGCGCGGGAGACTGCCCTGACCCCGGCCCCGGGCCCGAGGGTGCTCTGCTCAGCTCCAGCAGGACGGGCTCTTTGGCGAAGCAGCTGGGGCTGCAGGCTGGGGGGGACGGAAGGCGGGCGGCCGGCTCTGCCCTC